GTATATATATATATATATGTGTATATATATATATATATATATATATATGTGTATATATATATATATATATATATATGTGTATATATATATATATGTATGTATATATATATATATGTATGTATATATATATTGTTAGTTAGTTAGTTATAATTCAATATCATTCATTGTTTACATTTTAGGTTATTATGCTTGTTGAGGGAAAGTGTAGTTGACGGTTGAGTTAGCCCGATTTGGTCTTTGACCCAAAGGCGTAGGAACATTTGAGAAATCCTCATGGTGGTCTCAGTGTGGCTAAGGTGGTCTTCGCGTAATTATGATCTATCTGAGGCAATCTTGAGGTCGACTTAAGGTGGAATCTGATTTCTCATTGTGTTCCTGCACAAAAGCTAGCATCGGGAGGAGTTTCCCAAACCCAACCGCTTCGACGCTCGAGTTAATTCGCAAGATTATATAGGGTGTGAGATATTTTTGGAAAAAGGTCTGACCCCTAGGTCAGAGTCGGGGGTCAACCTTTATATTTGATCGACTGAGGGGATCTTTTTTAATGATCTTAATGTTTCCCCTTGGCATTTTGTCCATAGGGACAACAAAGGTGGGGACAAGCTCGAATGACCTCTTGTGGATTGTTGTCCACGGAGGTCGACAAGGTCGGCCTAAATAACCTTCCGTGGACTATTGTCCATAGGAGCTAACAAACCATAACCACCCCCACGTTATTGCTCAATGGAGAGTGATTCAGCCCTTCTCTTCTATGTTAGCGCCTTTGGGGTGATTAGTTGGTAGACGGGGGTTGGTTGTTAAAATATTCACTATCATTTATACCCTTGTGAAGATGTGATCCAGGGCTTTGTTCTAGGAGTTTCGCAGTTCAACTCTAAAATCGTTCTTTTTTTCTTAGAGTGGGTCGGACCATCTCGAGCCTGATTAGTCTAGGGCCTCCACTGTAGTAGATCTAGTGGTGTGGGTTGGGTTTTCCGACTCATACATATCGAGCACTTTTGGCTTTGTACTTCCATTGTAGTAGGTTTATCTTGGTGCAGATTGAGTTTTTTCAATTCACACCTCGAGCCCTTTTAACTTTTCACCTCTATCTTAGTGGAATTATCTTAGCGTCGATTAGGTTTTCCCGACTCACATGCCTCGAGCGTTTTTAGCTTTATTCCTCCGCTCGTAGTAGATTTATCTTAGTGCAGGTTGGGTTTTCCTAACTCACGCCTTGGGCACATTTGGCTTGGGGTCTCTGTCATGGTGGATTCCCATGTTCCTTCTCTGTCATAGTGGATCTTCGGTCTTCCCGTCATGGCGAGCTTCAAATCTCTTTTCCACCATGGAGGATTCCCATTCCTTCTTTGTCATAGTGAACTTGAGTCTTCCTACTATAGGAGGCTTCAAGTCTTCTCTCATACGTGGTGGATTTCTTGTCCTTTCTCCATTGTAGCGAATCTTGGGTCTCCCCGTCATGGAGGCCCTAAAGTCTTCTACGGAGCTATGGTGAATTTTTTGTCCCTTCTCTATCATAGTGGATCTTGAGTCTCCCTGCAGTGGAGGACTTTGAGTCTTCTCTTTGCCATGATGGATTTCATGTCCCTTTTCCGTCGTGGTAGATTCCCATGTCCTTTCTCTACTATAGCGAATCTCGAATCTCTTTGTCGTGACGGGCCTCAAGTCTTCTCTCAATCATGGTGGATTTATTGTCCCTTCTCTATCAGTAGATCTCGAGTCTCCCTACTATGGCAGGCTTTGAGTCTTCTTTCTATCGTGGTGGATTCTATATTCCTTTTTTGTCATAGCGAATCTCGGGTCTCCTGTCCGTGGCAAGTTTCAAGTTTTCTCTTTATCATGGCGAATTCATTATCTTTTCTTTGCTGTAACAAATCTCGAGTCTTCCCATTATAGCGAGCTTCAAATCTTCTTTCTGTCATAGTAGATTCCATATCCCTTGATCATAGTGGATCTCAAGTCTTCCAATAATGGCGAATTTTGGAGCCTCACTCCCTATGATATATTTTATGGCTTGTCATGGTAGATTTTGATGCTCATTCCACTATAGTATATCTCGAAACATTATTTCCTCATGTCTTACCAAAGGGGCCACTTGTCTCGATCATGGGAGGAGAGAGATTGGTAGCTCTAGTGGAGTTCGATGTCTCTCCCATCATGGTAAGCTTTGGGCTTTCTCGTTGTCGGATCCCCTTAACGTTTATTTCAAAGGGGCCACTTGTCTCGATCATGGGAGGAGAGAGATCAGTAGCTCTGCCTTAAATCCCTCACCCGCTAAGGAGCAGGACTCATTCCCACCTATGACTCCAAAGTCTAAATCCTTTAGGATCTTAAGAGCTCCTAGTCTCGCTCCCTTAGGATCTTTGAAGGATAGTTCCCCCAATCATTTTGGAAGGGCAACTTGATCTTTGGTCCCTACTTCTCAGCATTGATCTTGCTCTTATGTCTCAGGTTATGATGTCTCTCCTTTCTTGCACTAGTTCTTCTAAGTCTTCTAGTTGTCTATCTGTTGAGGTTCATGCTCCGTCTTTGGGTAGTCTGAGGGCGGAGCAAGTCAGGTCATCTACTTTAGAGGGTGCATTTCCTGAAAACCGAAGGACTCTTTGGGACCTGGAGTCCATGAGTTCTCACGATTATGATTCAATGGTGAGCGCACCCCTTTTGGATTGCCTATGATCTTAATAATGTTATCCCTACTGACTTCGAGCTACATGCTCCCAGAACTGGTCAATGCCCCTTCGACTTGGTTCCAAGGGCTTTATGCTTATCTTGCGATGCCCTCGATGTAGGGCTCCGTCTTTCACTCCATTTGGTAATAGTGTCTTGTCTCTAATGGTGGAGAATTTTGCCTTCTCAGATAGCTTCTAATTTATGGTGTTATCTTATAGTATTAGGAGTGCCAACGCATTAACATTGTCCTGACCCACACTTCATCTCTAGCTTTCGATTATGCAAAGGGTGAAGTGGTTACTACTTAGCCACCCATGGAGGCTTCAAGGTGAGTGGCACCCATTTGAATAACAAAGGTCGGAAGGAACACTATGTTTTTATGAGCCGGGTCTGAATACTCTCTCATAGACTATTGTCCACAAAGACCACATGACTAGCCTGAATGACGTTACGTGGACTATTATTCACGAAAGTTGACAAACCATAACCACCCTATGTCATTACCCAGTAGAGAGTGATTCGACTCTTTTCTTTCATGTTAATACCTATGCAGAAATTAGTTAGTGAATGGAGGATGGTTGTCAAAATATTCCTTATCAATGTTTAACCTTTATAGCTAGTTTTTTGTTATTTACATGTAAAAGCTCCCCTTTTGGATTTTTTCCCAGATGGTTTCTAATTTTTAGTTTTCTCATTTGGTACCGTTAATTTTCTCTAATACTCTAAATGCATATTTTTGTCATCCATGTCTCCTTCTCCTTTTATTGTAGTGGTTGCACTCCTAGTAGTCACCACTTCCTCCACTACGTGGATATTTTCAATTGTCTCAAAACTATCTCATAAAAATACAATAAGATGAAAGGAGGAGACAACCATGATGAATTCAAAGTGATAAGATAAAAGTATTGAGGCCTAACGAAGAGAAAGGGGTCGATCAGAGGCAAAAGCAATAAAATCGAAACGATGAGACAAAGACAATGAGATAGAAGCGATAACTAAAAGATAATCACGATAAAATGAAAGCAATAGAACCTCACGATAAAAAAAAGAGATAATCACAATAAAATAAAAACGATGAGGTCGAAAGTAATAGAACCTCACGAAAAATAGAGACGATTATAATAAAATAAAAACGATGGGGCAAAAGCGATAGGACGAATACGACTAAACTAGGATGAAAGCAATAGGACAAAGATAAAACAGAGGAAGTAATAACAAAAGACATTTATGATATTAAAAAAATATATGACAGAAAACTAAAAATATAAAATATTATTTAAAAATACAAAAAGAAAAATCACTTTTTTTTGCTGCCCAGCTTTAATATTAAATAGCAACCTGATATTTTCCAAGTCAAATTCTGTTTTTTTTTTCTTTTTTTACCAAATCCAAGTCCCGCAGCTACAAGAAGAGAAACGAGTGCAGTATAAGAAAAGTGAAGTCATCAGAGTCTTGAAGAGATGCATCTCCTAAACCAATACTCGGCGAACAATTATGCAGCAACCCCAAAAATCCCAGCACACACTGGGAGCCATCTTCAACCCTAATCACCATCACCAAGAGACCACACCATCTTTGCCTCCCCCTCCCCATCCCCATTTCTTCTCCGATTCCTCTCTCTACATTCTTGCAGTCCTGCCTGTGGTGGCCATCACAGTACGATACCACCTGGCCTCCCCCTAGCCTGAGCAACAACACAAACATTAGCCATGGCCAGTTCTCTATCTACATCAACCAGACTCCTGTGCTTGGGTTCCTCCCCCTACAAGGCTCCAAAATCCCACAGGTGCAACCCGGTCTCGTCGGCCCAAGCAGCCACGTAACGATCGCCGGCCACCGACGCGGCTGCCTCTCCTATCCGCTCCCTGAAGCTGTATAAGTACTCGCTCGTGGTTGCGTCCCACACGCGTACTCCGCCATGGGCGGAGCACACCACCGCGTAACCCCAGTTCATGCACCCTTGCACACCCGCCGCACCCTGCTGCCGTCCCTCCGCCCTCCTCACCGTGCTGAACCTGCAAATCTCCTGCAACCTCGGCACCTCCCACACCTTCGCCAGTCCTCGCGTGTCCACGGCCATTACCCGGCCCTCGCTCGCGTCCACCGAGTCCACCACCACGCCGTGCCGGAGCTGAAGCTGGTTCAGGATCGTACCGGTGTCGTCGAGGTCCATGACCTCCATGGTCGAAGCTGTGCACCCCACCACGAGTCCCGGCTCCACGATCTTCGCGCGGCCGACCACCGGACTCGACAAGTCGGTGAGCATGTGCCATCCCAGGATGGCGTCGGAGTCCGTCAAGGTTCCGCCCACGAACACCAGCTGCTCGGTGGCGGCGTCCCAGACGCGCCACGACCGGCCGGGAACGCCGGCCAACAAGCCAACCCACCACCGCGAGTTCCCGGTGAAGTCCACCAACGTCCCGTCCTCCATCAGGTTCCCGACGTGGGCTCGCCGGACGGAACCGGAGGCGCCGAGGCTCGCCATGTGGACGTCTCCGTCCTGGGAAGCGAAGGCGAGGCGGTCGTCGGCGAGGAGGACGATGCCCGAGATGGCCTGAGAGAAGCGGCCGAGGCGGTCGCGATGAGGGTCAGCCGAGTAGGTGGCGAGCGCCCGTCCGGAAGGGAGATCGAACAGGCGAACCGAGCCGTCAACGAAGCCGGCAGCGAGGTGGTGGTCGGAGAGGGCGAGACGGCGGCAGGAGATGACGGCATCGGAAGGAGGAAGCAAGTGAGAGTGCGCGGAGCGGCGGGCCCGGAAGTTAGCGGCGGTGCGGTGGAGGCGGATGAACTCGTCCCGCCAGGACGGGAGCGCGCGACGCCGGCGAGACCACACGCGGCGGCAGAGATCTTTCCACAGGAGCTCCGACCGGGAAACGCTTCTCCACGAGGAGCAGACCTGCAATCGAATCCACCATCAGCATCGACACCCATAAAATATAACTTAGACTTGAGGGCTTCAGTAAGATTTCGATCAGAATCTTCGCATGCATCGTATGGATTGCACTACGTATGACAACTTCAATACACAGATCGGACAGAATCCGACATGAAATATGCCGTAGCAATGGCAAGTATAAAATGACTGGAATCAATTACAAGTTCCTGCAAGTTCTTGCAGGAACCGAGTGCTACGAAACTGATGGTGCAATAAAAGCTCTCGAGGAACGGAGTACTACGAATCTGGTCGTGCAATAAAAGCTCAGCCTTCGCGGAACTGGTTGTGCAATGAAAGCTCGCATTGCTTGTGCGTGCCGCTCCAAATTCCCTGACATCGACAAATAATGGCATTAATGACTCTTTTCTCTTGCTTCTTTCTCGCTCTTCCTTTTCTTCTGTCGGTAATGGATTTGGGCGGGGCAAAGAAGGAAGAAGATTATTTTCTATTGCTCCTTTCTCGCTCTTCCTTGGCTTCTCAAGGTAATGGATTTGGGTGGGGCAAAGAAGGAAAGGAAGATTCTTTTCTGTTGCTTCTTTCCAATCGGCAATTGATTTGGTTGGGGAAAAGAAGGAAAAGAAGATGAGATTGCAGTAGATTTAGAATAGAGAAAACCCCTTGTGATGTTTCATTGTCAAGAACTCATAGGTCAACCTCCATCGAAAGGTAAGGCCACTACAGGATACCAGAAACTCAAGAATGACAGCAAAACAAAGAAGAAGATTTACGAGTAGCACTCACATGATCGCACCGCATTGCATGCATTAGCATTGGCAAATGCTACACCTTCAACCTCAACAAGAATGATCAGAATGTAATTAAGACCATTTGCAAATTGCCCAAAATCAAGAAAAATAAAGCTTTTGCTTCCTTTATTTACTGAATTTGCATAATTATAATTAATCATAAATTTGGCAATCAAGATGTAAATGACTGCAAATTACAAGCAATCTGAATCTCATAACGATCAATCAGGATTAGAACAACCAATATCACATTGAAATTCGTAATCCAGATGCCAAGTAGGGGCAAAGTTCCTGAAGCATTTGGTAAGATATGTTCTAGTCTTTCCATGTAAGTCATTATCTAAGAATGATGCCTAATCTTTCATAAAATAATGCCTTGTCAAGATGATAAGCGGAATAGTCTTCTAAAGGATGTAGATTATCATCAATTTGAATGGCACATACTATAGATATGAGAGAGCAAAAAAGGGTAATAATATCTTGCAGACAACGAAGGTAATAAAGAACTAATAAGTTCCACAAGCATGTATATGAATGCAACCAAGTCTTGTAGCAGTTAATCCTCCACTTAATCGCTGAAAATGAGATTCTACTTTGCTTGAGGTGACATGTAAAATATCAAGACTGGATTAACAAGCTATACAATTAGGAGCATCTCACAGTGTATGTGTATTTCATGTAGAGATGACAGGGAAAGGTAACCAAACTAATCCAAATCCTAATAAATTGG